AGAGATGTGATAGGAGAGGTAATGAATGTTTATAACAAATTCTGTCCTAGTCTAGAGGTAAAAGAGTTAGTTATTGGTCCTAAAGAACTAGCCTATCCTGTGAATACACCAAGAGAAAGGACAGTGTATAGTGTAAAAGCTGTACTCTTAGCAGTAGTTGAAAAACGACCATTTCTTGTTACCACTGGTACTAGACATACAGAATTAAAGGAGATCCTACCTGATGAATCATTATCAGATATTAGTAACCTCTCACTATTAGGAGGACGTGATATTAAGGTAAGAATTAACACACAAACTGTTTGATGCATTTGAAAGGTCACATCTTAAATGTAATTAATTGCTTATCAAATACTCTTGACTTCTTAGTCATAATTGTGGGTTGTCATTGTGTGGCTTTTATATACTTGGACACCTGTTAAACTCACCTTAGCACAATACACTAATGAAGTATATTACCTTGATAAACAAGCACAGTGACAAATATTAGTTATTATTATTATTATTATTATTATTGTATAGGAAGTGATTGAAGTAACTGAAGAATTCAAGACACCATTGACTCCAATAAAGCTAGGTATGTTATAATATGTACTATCACAATTGTCAAGTAGTGGGAGTGTAGACTGTACAGTGTATATACACATTATTAATTATTATTTTTATAGATATTAAAGATCTCGATATTGTTATTAAAGAATTAACATCAGATCAACACTTGCCCTGTTCTGTATGGCACAGACTAGGTCTACAGTTAGGATTATATGATCCTAGACTAGTGGATATAGACAAGAAGAATAAAGGAGATCCAGTGGAGTGTTTCCGTGAGTGTATGTCTGCCTGGTTAAGAGGAGAAGATAAAGTGAGAGAGAAAAAAGGTCCCAGTTGGTCATCATTAGCTATAGCACTGGATACAATAGAAGAGAAATCTATTGCTAGTTACATTAGAAATAAATATTGTACATCAAACAAGTAAATTGCCTAGCTCTTTTGTTTATTGAAATTGTTATTGTCTATTATCACTTATTTTGTTAAGATGGCTGCCTATAGTATCTTACTTTGTTCTGTTTATAACTATTATTATTATTAATGATACATTATTACAAGATGAATGTAAAACATTAAGGGGACGAGCCAAGCAAAGCAATATACATCATTAATACTATTTACGTCTGTCTGTCTGTTGCTAATAAAAAAGTTTGAGTTGATTCCAACAACAAATTTTTGTGCAAAGGGCAATTTTCAAATTACTACATCACTACCAAACGTGTACACTAGCATCGTTACTATAAATAGTATCAATTACTACAATAGACAATGATATATCATATACTACAATAGCATAGTCTCAATCAATAGCATTGTACTATAAATAGTATCAGTGTTACTATAAATAGAATCATTTACCTCTATTCCTAAGGAAGAATGACACTATGTCTCAGTTCCAGTCTCCAGTGCATTGAGTGGGAGGGAACATTGATCTAATCAATTAAGAGACACACCTCCTGCACTACCATAAATTAACACCTAATATATTCAAAAATTAAATGAAAAAAAATTAATTATTATTAATACATGAATTGCAGGGTTTCCCACAAAGCATGCTAAGTGAGCTAAACAGCATGAGCTTCATGAGGTGACAAGCACTACAATATAGTATATGGCATTTGGAGCAACTTTAATAATTCATAAAAAATTCAAATTTGACATGAATCAGTTCAAACTTCTTACACAGCACGAGACACCTACGGTGCGTGGCCTCGTCCCTATAGCTATTTGATCATCAAAATTAAAGGAAACTTTAACATGCAAATTGCATATATAAAACAAGTGTACTCCTGAGGGATAACAGCTAGCTTGCATAGATCTACCAGACTACCTGCAGAAGTAGCAGCATGCAAGCTAATCCAGCTACTCCCAAATTGGAGGTGTGGCATGACATTAACTATTAATTAATTATTTGATGGCAGCAAACCCTGCAACAAGAAGGAAGTTTCAAATTTTTCTCTTGTTATAAGCACTATATGACATTATAATGGCACAAATACTGTTGCCTAGATGTAAATTGAGTGATTTGAGAGAGTTTAGGACCTTTAGACAACCTACAGTTCACTCGGGTTGAAATTCAAGAAGCTATAACTCACCAACAAGAAAGAATTAAAGAGTCCCACAAATATTAAAACAATAACTAGTCTTGATCTACTGGAAAAGAGTCTCATTTACCTCCAGAGTGCTACCGCTATTGCTGGGCATTTTCTTGTGAGTTAAAAAGCTTCTATTAGCTAGAGCTGCTCTCTAAACATCTAAATGCAGTAAAGCAAGACTTTTCCTAACAAAAGAGAAGTTCTCTCAGATTTAGAGTGCATGATTGCAAAGATATATATATTCTCAAAGACAAAATATAGCACACAGAATGAAGGAATGACAGACAGACAAACCGAGTACCTAGTCCTCGCCTACGCAAAGCCGGGCATGGCCAATAAGTGCATGTATATGTATTAGATAAAATTACAAAAAGGAGGATTTTCTCCTTTTCATTTTTGACAAAATTTGGCCGAAATCCCTGTGTACCTTTAGGAACCTTGGCCCAGTTTTTGAGCAACTTTAAAAATTTGTAAAAATCTAAACTTGTTTGGAATCAGGTCAAACTCTCTGCATAACATCAGTACATGTACATTGTACCAGAAAAAATTATAAAGATAAAAATTCTTCTCCTTTTATTTTGATGCAATTTGGCCAACACACCTGTAGAATACGTGTACATGTATATAAATTCATACACTAGTACATGCAGCCCACTTTTAATCTATTTTCGATGTTTTCGAGGTTTTATGGATTTTGGAGCAACTTTACAAATTTGTAAAAAATCTAAATTTGATTGGAATCAGCTCAAACTTTTTATGCAAAATAAAAACATGTATATGTACCAGAATATGTAATAAATTCTCTCTCCCTCTCCCTTACTCTTCCATATGTCTCCGGGTACATGTCCAGTACATTCCCTGTGCTGTTCACTGGTGATAGAGTGGTCACTGGTGGATGGTACGAGTGGCCACTGGAACTATTATAAATGATCTTTGCAGTCTCATAGACATAGGTAGAAGAGTATGTCTAAAACTCAAGAGCATCTTGTTCTATGGGCATTAACCAGCTGTTCTCAGTCATTAGCTCAGCCTACAAAATACAAATAAAGCTACAGAAAATGTATAAATAATTACCAGAGTGTCTCTTTATTGTTTCGAAAAGTATTATGCATTGGAATTTTGTACAATAGTACCCTAAAGAGAGAGAGAGAGAAAGAGAGAGGGGGGAAGAGAAAGAGAGAGGGCATAAATGAAGGTATAAGTGTACATGTTACTGTTAGCTGATGAAAATGATTGCTTGTTTTATATTCATCAATGTGGGCATGACTCTAAGTAGGCAGATGCAGAGTCAATAATAAACAATGAAATAATATGTTTAATGTACCACTCCATCTTGTGGGTGTAGTGACTCCTCCCCTTTTAGGAACCTATGAATGAGATTAAATTGTCTGAATGGAACATTACCAGTTACTAATGACAGCTGAATTAACAGAAGTAGTAAAATT